CTTCCTTTCACTCATTCCCATCTCCTTTCTCCATCCTTCCTCCCTCCATTTTTCCTCCTCCTCCCTCCTTTCCTTCCTTCCTGTATTTCCTCCCTCCCTCCTTTCTCCCTTCCTCACATCTTTCCTTCATTCCTTCCTCTCTCCCTTCTTCTTTCCTTCCTTCTTATCCTTCTTCCCTCCCTCCTTCTTTCCTCCCTTCTCCCTCCCTCCCTCCCTCCATTTTTCTTCCTTTCCTTCCTATCCAACTTCCCTCCCTCCCTCCTTTCTCCCTTCCATCTTTCCTCCCTCCCTCCTTTCTTCCTTTGTTCCTCCCTCTTTTTCTTCTCTCTCTCTCTTTCTCCTTCCTCCCTTCCCTGTGGCCAAAAGCCTTGTTTTCGCTCCCTTCCTGACCTCCTGCCTCCTTCTCCTGCCCCAGGTGCGAACTCTCCTTCGAAAAGTCAACGGTGCTGCAGTCGGAGCTGGAATCCTGCAAGGAGCTGCAGGCCTTGGAGCCGGAGAACAAGTGTAGGTTCGCCCCCAGAAGAGGCCTCAGTAGCGGCCTCAAATCTTTTTCCTAAGTTACTAGTCCTTAAAATTAAACCTGTCAGCCTATAGAACCTCTAGAGGGGCACCTCCAGTGTTAACAACATCCTTCAGGACTATCAACTTGAAAGATACAAGCACTCCTCGACTTACAACCATTCAGAATTACAACAACACGGTTAAAAATGACTTACAATCGGTCCTCGATCTTGCAACCGTCACAACCTACCCACGGTCTCCCCATTATAATTCGAGTGTGTTATTTATGACGATTGCCGCGTCCCGGGGTCACGTGATCGCCATTCGTGACCTTCCCAGCTGGTTTCCGTCACAGCAAAGTCAGTGGGGGGGGGAGCCGGATTCACTTAACGACCACATGTTTCAATTAGCGACTTCCGGGATTCACGAGGCAAGCAAAAGGTTGTAAAGTCAAGCGTGATTCACTTCCCTTTCCTTAGCAATGGAAATTCTTGTTCCCAACATCGGTCGTAAGTCGAGGACTACCTATAAACAGGTGATCGAGGGAAACATTAAATGCAAAGGGATTTTTTTAGTGGGACCTCTCAGCCACAGAATTAGGGTAGGTGGGCAGCTAAATTGTTTTACGCTTCCCTGCCGCTCTCGTTCACCCAGAAAAATATGCAGAATAAAGGAAGTTTTCGCGAATGAATTGGCGGCATTGAGTTGAGTTGGTGGTAGCTTGATTAAACCTTTTTTTTTCCTTCCCCTCTTAGGGTGTCTCCTAACTATCATCCTCCTCATGAGGGCTTTGGATCCTTTGGTTTACGAGCAAGAGACACTCCGCTACTTCGCTGCCTTGAAGGTCAGTTTGGCGAGACATCAAGATCTGGTGTGACTCACACTTTATTCGGAAGCTAATCTTGCGCGGGTAGCATTCTGTTGTGGCCCGACAGGGGCCAGCAGAGCTGGCGTCACACTTGAACCAGTGAGGAGGTTGGGGCGGAACATGGGCCAGTCCTGGAGTCTGGGGAAGGCTCTGACGAGGGCTCTGCGTCAGAAGCAGAGATGGAGCCAGGGCTGTCTGACGATTACCAGCTACCTTTGGAGGTGAAGATCAGTGGGGAAGAAGAACAGCTGGAGCCTGTTCTCAGTGTGCACATGCACAGAGCTGCCAGAAGAAGGGAACAGTTAAGGAACAAGGGTCGACTCATGAGTAAGGGCACAGGTGGACGGTGAATGGCCCCTCCCAGAGGGAATAAAGAGGAGGTGAAAGGGGAGTGGGGTTTGCAGGAGACAATTAGTTCAATTCATTAGGGTAAAGATCTGTTCCTGACTTCTTGCCAAGTAATTGCTATTACAGTGTGGCATTTGGAAGATATCGGCCTGGCAACTCTCCAAGCCTGATAAAGGTCTGTGGTTGTAATTCACCCTGGAAAGACTGTTCGCTCGGACTTTGCTGGATGCGAACGATAGGAATTCACATTAGCTTAATAAAAAGGGTGGGTTTTTTTGGCATGAGGAGTCTGCTTAGTCATTTTGGGAAGCCTGGGTCAGAACAGATGCAACCTTTTGCCTCAGCAGCTGGGGATTTGGGTCGCTGCCCTCCCAGTGCACCCCAAGAGGACCAGGCTAGAAAAAGCCACAAATAAGCCACCCGGTCCCAACCTTATCTCTGTGGGATGCCTTCTGGCAACAACAGCACCCCTGAGCATGTGCAGAGGTGCCCTACTTTCTTCAGCCAACCTTTCTTCTTCTCACTCATACATCTCTATGGGGGGGGGGGTAGTTGCAAAAGATCCTTGGCTTACAAATTCATTTGAGCAAAGATCTCAGATTTCTTTTTTTAAAGGTTTTGTGACTGCAGTGTTTTATCTGGACTTCAACTCCCAGAATTCCCCAGCCAGGAAGGATTTACCAGAATTCAGCAGGGATAAAGGACAAAAACCACATTATCAACATTTTATGATAGGGTGGTAACTTTCTTAATAGATGGCGGGAATGTGGTAAACATAAAAAATCTTGACTTCAACAAAGTGAAGAAAGAGCTTTTTCCTTGGAGTTCACTCATCTTAAATCAAACTGGCTGGGGAATTCTGGGAGTTAGTTCACCCATTTTTAAAGCACAGTGGCTAGGGAATTCTGGGAATTGAAGTCCTCCCCCCCATCTTAAAAGTTTGCTGGCTGAGGAATTCTGGGAGTTGAAGTCCACCCATTTTAAAGACAATAGCTAGGGAATTTGGGGACTTGAGGTCCATCCATCTTGATAAGCATGAATTCCACCCATTTTAAAGCACAGTGTCTAAGGAATTGTGGGAATTGAAGTCCACCCATCTTGAAAAAAAAAGCATGCTGGCTGAGGAATTCTGGGAATTGAAGTCCAGCCATTTTAAAGCACAGTAGCTAGGGTATTGTGGGAGTTGAAGTCCACCCATCTTAAAAGCATGAATTCCACCCATTTTAAAGCACAGTGTCTAAGGAATTGTGGGAACTGAAGTCCACCCATCTTGGAAAAAAAAAAGCATGCTGGCTGAGGAATTCTGGGAATTGAAGTCCACCCATTTTAAAGCACAGTAGCTAGGGAATTGTGGGAGTTGAAGTCCACCCATCTTAAAAGCATGGATTCCACCCATTTTAAACACAGTGGCTGGGGAATTCTGGCAGTTGAAGCCCACCCCTCTTAAAAGTTGCCAAGGATGAAAAACCCTGCTATATCTTTATACTAAAACGATCCACCTGGATACGTTCCCACGTCAATCTTGTTGATTACCAAGCCGATGATGCTCTTGCGCTCACCCACCCAACCCCATCTTTCCTTCATCAGGCCGCAGACCCCATGCGCTCCTCATACCTCAACGACCTCCGGAGCAAGTTTCTGATTGAGAACAGCGTCCTCAAGATGGAATATGCCGATTCGCGGGTGGTGGACCTGTCCCAGAAGGTAAGTTGGCGAGGAGAGCCGGGAATGAGAGGGATGGAGGGGTCCCTGCAGGTGGGCCGATCTAAGAACCAGGTGAACTTCTAGAGAGCATCCTCGGAAAATGGTGAGGAACAGGACCGCCTGGTTAATTCTTGGGGTTATCAAAACGGAAGAGAAGTATCTCTTCACACTTTGTAAAGAGCCACCCAGATGTTGAGACCGGATTTGGAATTTTTATCCACCTATCCAGTCCTTCCCAAGGACCTAGGATGGACAGATGTGGTTGTTTGATGGTGTTAAAAATGCCTTGTGGTAGGATGTCAGCTCTTCCAAGTCAAGCTGCCTTCTGTAATTGACCGATGGGATATTTTTGTCAGTGCCAAGGGAGCTCCGGATAACAGGTATTCCTCGATTTTTTACGGCTGCCCAAAATTTACCATTGCTAAGCAAGAAAGTTGTTAAGCGGGTTTTGCCCTGTTTTAATGACCTTTCTTGTTAAGTGAACGCCTGTGGTTGTGAGTTCATCACACGATTGTGAACCGAATCTGCCTTCTCCGTGGACTTCACTTGACAAGGACATTAAAGTTGATCATGGGACACAGCTCCGGGATGCGGCAAGCACTGTCAATACATGCTAGTTCTCAGGCCTTTATTTTTTTTTGATCACATGACTTGAGGAACCACATGATCAAATCTCCTTCATTCCATTCCATTCCAAACTTCTTAACAGGGAGGACCACTCACCAGTGGAACACCCTGCCACCAGAAGTTGTGGGTGCTTTATCACTGGAGGTTTTTTTAAGGAGAGACTTAGACAACCACTTGTCTGGAATGATGTAGGGTCTCCTGCTTGACTAAATGATCTCCAAGGTCCCTTCCAGCTCTTTTCTAGTTCTGAGTTTGACTTTGGGGGTGGTCGTTTCCCTTCACAACAGTGGTCAGTGTGAAAAACGGCCACAAGTCATTTCTTTTCAGTGCTGCTGTAATTTCACTGAAACAAACAGTCATAAGTCAAAGGCTAGCTGTATTCCTCACCTTTCTGCACACAATACACAACCAGAGAGAGAGAGTGACAGGTTTATTTTGGTTCTGGCTCAAACCCAGGACTCCTGTTTACAAAAACTGAGCTACTACAGATGTCAGCAAACCTGGCAGCCACTTCCTCCTTTTGTGGCTCCCAAAAAAATTGGTTCATAAGCTAAAGGAAGAGATGAAGTGGGCCCAGTTTAGGAATGTTGGCCAATACAAAGGGCCTGGCCTGAAAATAAAACACCCATTTTTCTCCCTTGGGGGCCAACCAGACTTAAGTTCTGCGGGGTGGAAAGTCAATTTTTGGACTGCTTTGGTTGGGTGAAAAATCTCATAATTGTGGAAGGAGAAACAGAAGGCTTTGGACGAAGGCCTTGGCCTCATCCTGCTAATTTTATTGTTGGTTTCCCGATGCTTTTTGTAAATTTAGATTAACAGAGTTGGAAGGGACCTTGTAGGTCATCTAGTCCAACTCCCTGCCCAAGCGGGAGACCCTAGATCACGTTTCTGACATTTCTATACCTATTTTTCTCCCAAGTTAAAACAGTCACTAGTGCTGGGTACAAATCTCACGTCGGTTGCAATCCCCGGAAACCTCAGCCTCGTGCAATACAGGTAGGCTTTGACCTACGTCCGCGACGGAGCCCAACATTTCCAACACTGAGCGAGGCAGTTGTGAGGTGAATTCTGCCTCGTTCCACGCCCTTTCTTGCCACCGCTGGGAAGCCAATCACCGCCGTTGTAAAGGTCGCAAAACGGAATCAGGTGACATAGACACCCACCCAGGACGCTGCGACCATCTTAAATATGAACCAAGCGCCTGGAATTTTGATCACGGGAACTTGTAAAAATGGTCGTGTCACATTTTTCAGCGCCGCGGTGACTTTAAGCGGTCGCTAAACGAGTCCTAAGTCAAGAACTCCCTGTATTTGAGAATGAAAGAGGATTGAAAAAAAGAGAGAATTTGCCTGCATCTGAGGTTAAAAATATGAAAACTATTAAATATTGATATTAAAAACATTTAAAAGCATGCCAGCAACTGAAAGAAGCCATGATTGACAGGTGAGTAGGTTTTACCTGCCTATAAAGTCAGGTAAAGAGTTGGACAGGATTCAACAGTTAAAGTCACTGTAAGAAATTCTGATTTATTTATTTATTTGGCTTTTCTTAGGGCCTGACCAGCCTGTGCCACTTGGAACACCTGTTGCTGGTCACACACCTGAACCTTTCCGATAACCTTCTCTCAGCCTTCCCTCCAACACTGGCCATGATGCGTTGCCTCGAGGTAAGACCACTCCTCCCATCAACAGAGTCTTGAAACCATCAGCCACTGCTTTGCTTTCTGGGCTGAGTATAGGTACTCCTCAGGTTAAAAGTGTTTATTTGGGGGGAACGTTCAAATTTACAACAGCTGTGGGGGGTGGGGGGAGACTTAATCGGTCCTCAGAGTTATGACCATTGCAGCCTCCCTGTATTCAGCGATCGTTTGACAGAAGAAACTTCCGGACTACGATTCCCAGCAAACCCAGTCACTAAACGAACGGTTTCTAGCTGGCATGGAATTCTGGGAGTCGTAGTTCTCAACCTCCATACAGAGTAATGTTTCCTCAGCTTGTGAGGATTTCAACTCCCAGAATTCCCCTGCCAGCCACAAACCATTCATTTAGCAACCATTCAAAGGAGTGACGACGGTGCTGGAAAAAAGGGACTTAGGATCTGTCCTCACACTTACAGCCATCATCCCCCATACTCATAGGATCAAAATTCAAACTCTTGGCAACTGACTCATTCTTACGACAGTTGCAGTCACATGGTCCCTCCTTCTGACGAGCAAAGTCAATGGGGAAGTTGGATTTGCTTGATTCACTTAACAACAGCAGTGATTCACTTAACAACAGGGAAAGCCATCAAGTCGGGCATGACTCGTTGAACAACCATCTTGCTTAGCGATGGGAATCCTGGTCCCTGTTGTTAAGTGAAGACTACCTGTAGCGAATGAGCTGTACAGGTAGTCCTCGACTTACGGCCACAACAGAGCCCACAAATTCAGTTGCTAAGCAAGACAGTCGTTAAGAGAGTTTTGCCCCACTTTTAACCACCTCCCTTGCCACCGTTGTTAAGTGAATCACTGCCAGGGTTAAGGGACTCACCTGGTTGTGAAGCAAATCTGGTTTCCCCTTGACGTCGCTCGTCGGAAGATCACAAAAGGAGACCCCAGAACCCCTTTGCGACCGTCATAAGTACATGCCAGTTGCCAAGCGTCCGAATTTTGACCGCGGGGATGCTGTAATGGTCATAAGGGTGAAAAACGGTCGTTTTTCTTCAGCGCCGTTGCAACCGCTACACAAACCGTCATAAGTGCAGGTCTCCACATATCTTCCGCTTTTCCCTCCCCAGGTGATGGAGGCCAATGACAACCGGATTGAGAGCCTGGAAGGGCTTCCCCCTCTGCCTTCTCTGGAAGAACTGTCTCTCCGCAACAACCGTATCCTTGCCAACGGGACAAGGCCTTGTCTTGAACGCGGCTGGGATGATCGATAGGTGGTGGGTTGGGGTATCTCTGAGCCAAGCCCTCCTTAACTCATTTTGCGTCCGTCAGGCATCCAGCGAGCCTCTGCCCTCCGGAGTCTGGCCACGTTCCCCGGTTTGGTTCAGCTCAACCTTCAAGGAAACCCCCTGTGCCAAATTCCGGGCATTCAGTCGGAGCTGGCCACGCTACTCCCCAATGTGACCACCATCTTGACTTGATTTCCTCGGGGGGGGGGGGGGCAGGGGGGGGAGCAGCGCTGGAGACCCTTAATTTATTGCCAATTAAAAGCATCCCAGCTAGAGGCCTTGTGCTGTGAGTTTATTTCTTTACGAGTTGGATATCGGTGCTTCGCTACAAAACTATGTGGTCGGGCTTAGTTTTGGGGGAGGAAAATAAGGGGGGCGGGAATTCTGCCTCTGCTGCCTACCAGGATCCATCGGTATTCATCTGGCTAGCGTCCTGTCAGTGTGCGAGAGAGTTGAGGGCTGTTTGGAAACTGAAATGGTATTTGCTGTGTGAACAAGGAGGAGACATCAAGGAGCCTGGGCGTGGCTTAGCTCAACTGTTCTGTACTAAAGCTGCTTGGTGCTGTGATACGGAAACTCCTCTGCTTGTGTTTTGCATTTGGAAGAGATTTCTTTTCAGTTGGGGAGCGGGAATAGAACTCCTTAGCATCAGAGCGTGTTAATAGTAATAATAATATAGGAAATATTCTAAATGCTCCGATGGTCATTTGGAAAAATCCTTTCTTAGCGAGCCCCTAGAAGCCACGAGGAACATACATACCAAATTTCAAGTTTGTAAGCTTTACGATTGTGGAGGTTTTGTGATGATACGTGAGTGTATTTCGCTTTTATACAGATAAGATTATTAATGTTGTGCACAAGTATACACACGTACAGATACAAGCAGGCCTTTAATATTGCAAAGCATGAGGTTAATTCTCGGGAAACGTGTGTGGACCTGCAAGGGGAAAATGTAGAAACGCCTTTTAATCCCCCATAACGATTTATAGCCAGAAGTCACGAAACCTCCAGCTTCTACCGGCTGGTTTTTATTCTTCTTTTCTTATTCTAAATGAGGGGTGTCCAACCTTGGCAACTTTTAAAGATCGGTGGACTTCAACTCCCAGAATTCCCCAGCCCAAGCCACCCACGTGAATACCGCTTTATAATCCCTCGGTAAGGCCGAACTTGGAATACTGCATCCGGTTTAGGTCGCCACAGTGTAAAAAATAAAGATGTTGAGACTCTGGAAAGAGTTCAGAGAAGAACAACGAAGATGATTAGGGTAAAACTTGAAGAACGGTTGCAGGAGTTGGGGATGTCTAGTTTAATGAAAAGGATTGGGGTGACAGGATAGCAGTGTTCCAGTATTTGAGGGGGGGTGCCACAAAGAAGCGGGGGTCAAGCTAACAGAGAAGGACTAGGGGTGGTATGATCTCTGTCTCTGCCTCTCTCTGTTCCCCTCCCCCTTATCTCCTTCCCTCCCTCCTATCTCTCTTTTCTGTCTCTTTCTCTCTCTCTCACTGTCTTTCTTTGTCTCTTTCTCTCTCTTTCTTTTCTCTCTTTCTGTCTCTTTATTTC